GATCCAATCGTCCACGAGGACATCGTCAGCGCTAGTTCCCGAAGAGGTTAAAAAAAAAATGACATCGTCAGTGCACAGAAGGAGCAACTAAGCAGATGCATGTTGCCCCCCGCTAAGCTTGCAGGGGTCCCCTGTATAGGCTGAGGAGTAGTGGTAGGTAGATAGTGAAAGGTGAAATTGAGAGAAGAATATAGCTCGTTAAAAAAAAAAAAAAAAAAAAAAGAAAGGTGAAATTGACAGAAGCATATACTAGCTTAGAACAAAAAACGAAAAAAAAAACAAACTTAAGTGCCTACATCTCGCCAGAGGACTCCACGTGGACCCCGTTGAAGCTAACAATATCGTCAATTTCCTGCACGCTACTGGCCACAGCATGTACCTGGACGAGATTGTGAGGAATGTTCACGAAACTTTCGATACTTGTCAGTGCCGTGAGTCCCAACAACTGCTGGTAAATGCTGACCAGGTGCATCGTGATCTGCATCCCGACGTGCACACATCACCTCAAATTTCTGACAATATCCTTTCCCCACCCCAAAAAAAAGAAACTTCTGACAATATCAATCTCCATGTCTGGAATTAAAGTTGTGATTTTTAATGATTAATAAAAACAACAAAAGCACAACCAGCTAATACCCAACGTAATGACAAACTGGCAACTGTACCCTGCCTCGACCAACAAATTCCGAAAAAAAAACAAAAAGAGAAAACTACGGCGCAATACCTTTCTCTGCGTTTTGGCTAAGATCAAGTGTAGTATCTGTTCTGATCAGTTTAATATCTGATCTGTGGTCCACCGGACCACAAACAAAAAAAAAAAAAAAAAAAAAAAAAAACTAGGGCAGTCAGGGTTTGAGTTTGTAATTGCACTTGAGGCAAAAGGGCGGGTAAATTAAATGCTGAATGTATATGACCTACGTTTTGGGTCCGGTGCGGTAGCATGGGGGTGTGTTGTATTCGCGGGATTGCCTGAAGTGCAATTACAAACCCAAATCAGCCTGTGCAGATGCATCCGGGCACAGACTGTGGAGTTGGCTGTGGGATATATAACTGTGAACAGGGCTGAGTGTTTGATCTGCAGCTGGGGATGGGTTTGGCCAAGAGTGCCTTGCCCAGCCCCGCACGGCTGCAACATATGTGCCAGACGCCGGACCCGTTTTCCGGCTGTAAATGGAATGAGCATTGTTTTTTTTTTATAAAAATAAATAAGCAACCTCGTCCTGGAAAACACGAAAAAGAACTAAAGTAGATGCTGCCGCTTCGATAACGGACCCCAAAAAAAAACAAAAAAAAAAAAGAACAGAGGGAGGGCGACGAATTACCGCCGGCCCCGGGGGAGGAAGAGAGAGCATAATAAAGGAAAAGGCGGGGAGAGAGAGAGAGAGAGAGAGAGAGAGAGAGCACCCTTCCTGCAAATAGAGAGGAAAAACGATGTGTAAAATACTAAAATTCTGAGAAAAGTTCGGTAAAACGACAAAAAGAGAGAAGATCGGGGCCACGGTCCCATTAGCCCAAAGAGATAAGGCGAGAGAGAGAGAGAGAGAGAGAGAGAGAGAGAGAGAGAGAGAGAGAGGAGCACCCTTCCTGCAAATAGAGAGGAAAAAGGATGGGTAAAATACTAAAATTCGGAGAAAAGTTCGGGAAAACTACAAAAGAGAGAAGATCGGGGCCACGGTCCCATTAGGCCAAAGGAGAAGGCGACATTTTTTATTTTTTACTATTTTTTTTAGCAATCAGGGGACATTCTAGACATGACGTAGGGAAAAATGAAAAAAAAAAAAAAGGACAAAAAACAAAACACAAAGGCCACTAAACGGGTGGATCCCTCTGAAAAATAGCGGGATTGCGACTTTCTCTCTGCATACTCAGACTAGCACTTTTTTTTTTCTTCCAAATGTATCTGACCGGAATTGCGGCTGTATAAGGATGCATCTGTCTCGCTAGGGAGTGCCTCTTTTTTTCCTCGTATTGCTAAATCCAAGTACTAATCGATCTCCGTCCCCTCGGGCAAGGCAGAGTCAGACGGACAGCCATTTTTCTTTTTTAATTGTCAAAACAAAATGTTTTTTTTTTTTTTTTTTTTTTTTTTTTTAACGCCTTTGTTTTGCAAAACTGAAAAGGAAAAACTGCATGACGAGATACCGATCTGATTAAAGAAAAAAAAAGACACCGATCTGATTCATGGGTTAGGAAAAAGAATGGCCATTTTTCTAAAAAAAAAAAAAAAAAAAAAAAAAAAAAAAAAAAAAAGGGCTTCTTCGAGAAACTTGTGCATTTCGTTTTTTTTTTTGACAGCCAATTTTGAAAGGCAGTTATTCAAGTTTAATCTCGTCCCCAGTATTTTTTTGAAAAAAAAAAAAGAAAAAAAAAAGCTCCAAAAAACAACACCCACCCAAAAATCCCGTCAGAGATCCTGTCGCCATCGGCGGCCACTGTGAGAGCTCCACCACTCTCTCACATCGAGAAAGTCGCCTTACCCCTTGGCTACCGGCTTCCCCCGAACACAAGGCACCCTCATTTAGGCTGTACCTGACCGGAAATAAGGTTTGCATACATTCATTTTCAGGGAGCGTTATGTTCGGGGGAAGACGGGTAGTGGGACCGTGCCCCGGTTCATACAACACTATGCCCGGAGCAGTAACTGTCGACAGAAAAAAAAAAAAAAAACGGAGGAGTAATTATCTACCTCGGAGAGGATTATTAATTGAAAGGTTAACAAAAAAAAAAAAAAAAGAGTGCTTTTCTAATCAATCGTGTTCGTAAGCAAAAAAAAAAAAAGAAAAAAAAGTGCTCATGAGCAAGTTTTGTTGCCCATTGCTCTAAAAAAAATTATTTCTTTCTTTTTTCAAGTTTTTTTCTTTCTTTTTTTCTTTCTTTCTTCTTCCGTATTTCTCGAGGAGGATTAATTGGAAGGTTAAAAAAAAAAACAGAAAAAAAAAGAGGATAAAAAAAAAGCAGAAAGTTCTATGATCCATGTGCTAATTTATTTATTATTATGATTCTCGATTTCTCATAGTTGTCGTTTCTCTTTTTTTTTCATCTGGTTAACAAAAACAAAAGCAGGAAGTTCTATGAGAAATTTAACGTTGTATTTTTTATGTTTCTTCTTTTGTATTTTTTTAATTTTCCGCGTCGTTGTAAAAGCTAATTTATTTATTATTAACAAAAACAAAAGCTAATTTATTTATTATTACGACTCTCTGTTTCTCGCACTTGTTGTCGTTTTGTTCTTTTTTTTTTTTCACTTTTCTGCTGTCATCGTTCGTCATTCTGTCGTTTTTCACAAAATACTCACTGTGATGAATCACTCATGGTTAAGCACACACACAGTCACATTTACAACGACGCGGAAAAAAAAAAAAAAAAAAAAAAAGAAACATAAAAAATTTAGAAAAACGGAGAAAAAAAACAAACAAACGCGATAAGCTCAACAAAAGAGAGGGAACAGTGTTTCGGCAAAGACCAAACCGGTTTTTTTTTTTTGGCCCCCGGAGAAAAAAGGAAGCAAGAGGTGAAATAAATTTAAAGAGGAAAGTTCCGAGATCAAGAAGGAGAGAGGGGAAAAAAAAGGTGAACGTCCTTTTTTCTACACTGCAAAATGTAAAGAGATGCTCAAATGTTTTGTAAAAAATTCCGGAAAATAAAATTTCAACAACGAAAATTAAAAAAAAAAAAAAACTCACCAGAAGAAACAGTTTCCCACAGCTCCATTTGAAGCTGAACCCTATACGATATATATATATGACAACAAACGAGGGGCTGTGACAAACTGTTTCGTCGGAGTTTCACCGACTCATCAGGAGGCTGAACCCTATATATATACATATATGATATATATTGCTTATATCGTCAAACAGAGCTGCCCGGTAAACCGTAGGCAGCAGAGAGGGGGGGAAGAAGAGGACAACAAACGAGGGGGTGTGACAAAAACTATTTCGTCGGAGTTTCACCTACCTACTCATCAACCAGTAGAAGGCTGAACCCTCAACTGTCTGCAGCAGAATCCCCTAACTAACTGATTACACTGTAAGTGACAATCCACCTTAATACATATTACCATATTATATATAACCATATTTTATATCTTTATATATATATCGTCACAAACAGAACTGCCCGGTAAACCGTAGGCAGAGAGAGAGAAGAGGACAACAAACGAGGGGCTGTGACAAACTGTTTCGTCGGAGTTTCACCGACTCATCAGGAGGCTGAACCCTCAACAGTCTGCAGTACACGACGATATTCAAAAAACGTCTCGCCTCTACACTTTATTTCCTTCTCTTTCTTTTTTCTCCCTCGTGTTTCCTTTTGAGAAACGCACCTTCCCAAATTTTAATACATTTCTGAATAAATCGAAAGTACCAAAACCCTTTACCGTTTTTCGTCGGTTTTTCTACTTGGCGCCCTCGACGACATGTCCGCCCAGCTTCTCCTCACCTCTCGGAACACCAGAACGACGACACGCGAACACAGCCATTCCCATCCCCATTCCCATCCCCATCGCCATCGCCATCGCCATCATCAACAGCTATGGCCCCAAATCAATCCTCTTTTCCACGGCTTCTTCTTCGCTTTCGGCCTCCGTTGATCTTCTTTCTTTTTCTTTGTTTTTTTTTTTTTAATTCACGTATCTACGCTCAGAAACTTCGAACTTTTTTTATGAGTCTGGTCTTGAAAAAAAAAAAAAAAAAAAAAAAATGCGGCTGATGAAGAAGAAGAAGAAGAAGAAGAAGAAGAAGAAGGTGAAGACAGGACCTCAGCACAGTCTGACTAACGACAAATATGCTGACGTGGACAAAATCTAGCCTAGCCTGCCGCCGTGGTCTAGACTCTAGAGCAGTTATCGATTTAATATTCACACGTGTCCTCCTTGTATACGCAGGGCCCATGTGCTAATTTGGCTAATTACCCTTCCCTGTACCGTCCCAACTTTCATGGATGTCCCCACGTTGCAACTATCATGATCATGGCTGTCCCCAAGGACATGGTCGAGCACTTACTTATGCGAACGCAGTTATTTCGATGAAGTTCAACGCGCGCGATCTCCACGACCGCCATCATGATGGTCAAGCTCTTCACAGCTTGAGTGGAAACCACCACACGAAGAGAAAAGTTGTGCATCGGAAATGAAATGAAAAAAGAGGGCCTACCGGCCTTTATGAGGGATGGCCGGCGGCCCTTTGGGTTCTTTTTTCTTTTTTCTTTTTCTTTTTCTTTTTCTTTTTCTTTTTCTTTTTTTAATTCCCCATCAAAGGTTGAGGCCGGAGTTATCCTGACAGCACCACCCAGTTTAGCTTACGGCCCCAGCCGAACCGAGGAGTGCACAAAAGACAAAAAAGAATGGCAATGTATCTTTCAATGTTCTAGCGGAGGATTCAGTCTCATTTTGCACCATTCGGAGAGTGGTGCAGCGACGCCCCACATGCCATAGAATAGCATAGTTTACTACCATCTTCCCCGGAACATAACGCACCCTAAAAATAAATGTATACAACTATATTTCCGGCCCGATACATCCAAAATGAGGGTGCGTTGTGTTCGGGGGAAGACGGTAGTCTGTGTGACTGTGTGGGACTGTTAGGATGTTTTGAGGGCAGGGAGCCGTAAGGCTCCCTTTTCTCATTGGTTTAGAGTTGGTTTAGAGTTGGTTTAGGGGTCCGGTGCGGAATGGAGGGAGAGGCAATCTCATTGGTTTAGAGTTGGTTTAGGGGCCCGGTGCGGAATGGAGGGAGAGGCAATGGGGTGTAGTTTGGGGTGTAGTTTACTGACCTCTTTTTTTATGGCTTAGAATACTATTCTTCTTTTGGCTGCTCACGTACAGGGAGTCTCATGGAGACTCCAAGGGCAAGTCTCATGGCGACTCCAAGGGTGTTTATGGCCCTCGCTCAGGTGGTCTGTGGACATGCACAAAGGACAAATATCATGGGGGTGTATGTAGCGGAAGATTCACTGTCGTTCCGCACATGGTGACTGGAACTCCGGAACTGCGTAATATGATTTTTTTTTTTTGTTTTTGTTTTTTTTTAAGGTAAGCTATATTCTTCTCTCATCTATTCCATCTTTCCTGGTAGTACGCATCTATCTCATCCTTTCACTGGAGGATGAGATATGATAATTTGTTGGAATTTCAAAGCTGCGCTATTCTGGACTTTGCATCTCTGGGGCGATGTCCGACTTCTCGAGGTTTGTTCTGGTTTCGAGTGTACATGGCTCCTTGCCATCCGATCTGAAAATCTCACGGCCCTAATGTGAGCATGAGCAGGTTGGAAATGCACGAAACGTAAACTAACCCCCCGGCCCCTGGTCTCCAGTGTGGACTTCGTGGGATGTCCCAATGTGTGTATGTGTGTGCTCAAGGTGAAGAGCAGTGAGGCCCAATCCAAAGTGCAATTTGGAGGGAAAAAAAAAAGGAGCATTCCTTTGAAGGCCTGCATCTGGACTTGTTCGTGGAAACGTTTACAAACATGGCAGTGTATCTTTCCATGGTCTGGCCGCAGATTCACAGATTCACTATCGCTTTGCAATGGTCTGGCAGCAGATTCACAGATTCACTATCTTTTTGCACATTTCTTGAGTAGTGGAGCAGACCCAATAAATGCACTTTCCCTCCTTCCACTGTCACACAGACTCGTAAACTATACTATTAGATGGCAAGTGGGCCGAGGCCCCGGTTCTCAGCTTGGTATTAAAGGGCATCGCCATACAACTCTCGAACTGTGCATAATGAGAACGAGCTTCCTTCCAGTGATGTAGCTCAGTGGTTAGAGCACCGGTTGGAAATGCGCATTGTGGTATCATGAGGTTGCGCATTGTGGTATGAGGTTGGGTTCAAAACTCCGCAGCCTTGTGCATGGACACCGGCAGGGCGTTAGAATGATGCACGACTGGACACACTCCCCTGGGCTGACGCATGGTACTATTACAGACACTGCCTGCGCACCACCCAGGGGGCTAAGTCCAGGGATGTTGTATGCTGGCCTAGACTTCACGTCGGTTGCTAGTTGTTGTTGGCTTTGGTCGCTCTGATGATCTCCCCCAGCCCAGATATTACACACATTATATCCACATCCTGCGGAAGTACATGCGGTAGAACCCTCCAGTTTCATACTGTAGGTCACAGGTTCGAGTCCGGTTCCGGACTTTGGGGGGAGTCCTGTCCAGATAGGCCTGTCTCTACCACATACACCCACATACAGAGATATCACCCCAGATAGCACAACCATGATACACAGTCTATCACATACCATGCACACATACTATACACACACATAGTACTAGTGGAGGTGGTAAGAGCCCCTCTCACCAGTACTCAGTACTTACCTCGCAGATGCTCCATGGTGGGGAGCAGCGTCTGCTATGAAATCGGGTCCACATACACATTACGAACATACACTTAGCACATGGGCATAATATATCCAAGATACAGAGTACATACATACATACATACACAACCATAGGGCTGGGAGGAGGTTACGATCAACTGATAATGATGTTGGCATTCGATGATAAGTCTCCCTGAGTCGCTGGTTGGTCCGTTTTCGATGACTAAGTACCCCCCTTAAAATCAGCTAGACTGCGTGTGGCAGACTAGGGCTGTGGTGAGCGAGTAGAGGGTGTGAGTCACTGGTTGGTCTGGATTAACTGATGATGATAGAGGGCGTGAGTCGCTGGTTGGTCTGGATCAACTAATGATGATGAAGGCGTTTCGATGACTAAGTAGTAAGTACCCCCCTTAAAATCAGCTAGACTGTGTGTAGCAAACTAGGGCTGTGGTGGCCGAGTAGAGGGCGTGAGTCACTGGTTGGTCCGGATCGAATACAGGGCGTGAATTACCAGTTGGTCAACTTCGGGGCTAGTAGGAGATTGATCGGGCCTGGCGTCCGAAGTTCCCGTGCGACGAGGCTCGTTCAATTCCGCTTGCACCACGGCTGGGTCATGGCTAGCCCTGGTGCCTGTCGCTGCTGTTCGGTCCAAGTTCTCCTCGATAGGGGAATGGTCCTGAGTGCTGGTCACACTGAGGTAGGATAGTAGAGATAGGGGGTGAGCTAGGAGTATTGACGTGAGGATGGGATGGGAAGGTAAGCCTCGTTCCCTCAGGACGACCATGGCTGACCGCTCCTGGCGATCAATGTGTGCCTAGTAACCAGCCTCTACAACACCCTGGGCTTAAAAAAAAAAGAAAAAAAAAAAAGAATGAGCTTCCCCCTAGAACATGGTCAGAAGCACCTGCCACATTTTTGTTTTTTTTTAGCATTTCGAGAGTGGTGTGAAGACGCCCTATGAAAAAGAACCGAGCTTCATCCGACCAACAAGCTTCATCACTCGAATCCCCAATCACATTATCGGAGATCACTAAGGCACTTGAGAGCATGGCCAAAGGAAAGTGTTCGGGCCCGGACGGACTAACGGTAGAATTCTACCTCCGGTTTTGGACACTCCTTGCCCCGGATATCCTCAGAGTCTTCAATCAAATCCTTGAGGAAAACCCCCTTGGTCCTAACACTACTGAAGGGATTATCATCCTTCTCTACAAGAAGGGGGACAAGTCCGACGTGCGGAACTACATGCCCATCTCACTACTTAATGTACATGGCAAAATCCTAGCTAAAACATTAGCAATTCGAATAAAACCCTTCCTGCACAGACTGGTACAACCTGACCAATCCGGATTTGTACCGGGTAGACAAGTACTAGATAATGTTATGACAATATCACAATCTATTGACTGGATTAATCAACACCAACTGAATAAAGCCGTCATTCTAGTAATTGACTTTCAGAAAGCCTACGATAGGGTCAATTGAGACTTTGTTCAAGCGGTCCTAGAAAAAATGGGAATAGGCCCCGTATTCAGATCTTTCGTCAAAGCCCTGTACGGAGCCTCATCAGGCAGGGTCCTAGTGAATGGTTTTCCCTCATCCCCCTTTAAAGTCACTAGATCCCTGCGACAGGGATGCCCCTGGCCCCATCACTCTTTGTGATCCAACTTGAAGTTTTCCTAAATATGATAAGACAACATCCTGACTACGAGGGATTGCAGATTTCCCCTTATCACTCAATAAAAGCCTCGGCCCTAGCAGATGACTTTTCGGCCATTTCAGAGAACTCAGTGACATCGCTATCGGCCCTAGAACAATGCATCTCTACATATGAACTGGCCTCTGAAATGAAGGTCAGTTGGCAAAAATCAGTGGCTCTTACCCCCAATGGCGAACCGCTGGCCCTGGACCTGGGCATTAAGGTTAAACCTGGAGCGGCAGTGGAAAGATACCTGGGCATCTAGGTATCCTTCGGAGACTCAGCACCCATCCAAAACTCAATAATGGAGAACAAGATTAGAGACACGTGCGTCAGTTGGTCCAAATCACGGTGCCTGTCGGTATTCGGCAAAGCAATGGTGATAAACACCTTCATATCCTCCAAAATATGGTTCATTCTCTCTATGTGCGCGTTACCACCACACACTGCCTCTAACATCAGACGATTCTTGTCCCGCTTCCTTTGGAAAGGAGATTCGGAGGCTCAATCGGTCCTATCCAAGGTCAGCTGGACGGAAATAATAGAGAAAAAGAAAAACGGGGGTTTGGGGGTCCTTGACCCAGAATCTCAAAACCGGGCACTTCTTGCAAAATGGCCAATCAGAGCACTGACCTCAAAAGAGAAGCAACCATGGATTCTGCTGGCTCAATTCTCCTTAGCATATAATTGGGAATTGTCGAACCCTGAAGCAGTATGGGATGCCTTACTAATGAAACCCTTCACATCTCGCCCCTCAACTAAGTCCTGGGAAGGGATACTCAGAGCATGGGGAGAAATGTTTCCCCAGCGCTTGGAGGAACCTTCCACTTCTGAAGAAATCCTTAACTCCTGTCTCTTCGAAAACCCACTTGTTCGTAACAAAGCAGGGAACTCGTTCTCAGTGGCTAAAGGCACCAGAAACTTTGCCAGGAAATGGATGCAGCGGGGAGTATGGCTTATTCGCCAGATCTGGGATGTTGACAGGAAAACATGGAAAAACGTAACACAACTCAAACATCAGCTTACGGGTCTACATCAAGTGGAAACTAACTTGGCAGAAATAGTTGCGGGTATCCCAACAAAGTGGGTTACCATGATCTCCAATCAGTCGAAGGTTTACAAGGAGCAGCAATGGTTCCAATCAACAACCGCGACGTCCCGTCTCCTCAGAGTGGATGAAGTTTGTCCGGAGGGTGAGGTGTTAGCCTCGGAATGGATTTTGAG